GCGAGCCCCGCCCGGCCGAGCCGCCTGCCCCGGACCCCAAAATCCCCTCCCGGCCACCCACCCGAGGTAGGTGACAGCGGCTGCTGTCCCCACCAGCGCTGCCAGCAAGGCTCCGGGGCTCCTTCCCATCCTCGGCAAGAGGAAAACTCTGGGGAAAAGGCATCCAGAGCAGTCGTGTGGCTGCTGCCCGTGTCCTAAAGGGGAGCCTGGAGATGTTTTATCCAGGATTTTATCCAGGATTTCCAAGTGGGGATGGGTGGGGTTGCAGGACAAAGCAGCCCCGGGTGGGGATCGGCGCATCCGGCTGAGAGTTTGGGCAGTGCCTGGGTAGGTGATGGAGAAGCCTTGAAAAAAAAAAATAGGGATAAAATAGGGATAAAATAGGGATAAAATAGGGAAATCCGGGAAAACAGCGGCAGCGTGTGCCGGGGTTGGGGTTGGGGGTGCGCGGGCCGCAGCTTCACCCCCTCTCGCTCTGTTTGTGCCCCCAAGGCCAGGCGGATGCCGAGGACACCGAGGGTAAGCACCGGCCTCTGTCCCCTCCCCGCGCCGCCTGTGCCCGGCCCCGTCCCTGCCTCCTTCTATTCCCAAGGCGTTTTCCCGCACAGTTTCCCCTGGGATGCTGCAGCAGGACCTCTCCCGGCTGCTGCCGCCCACCCTGCGGGGGGAGCCCGGGTTATTCCAGGGCTTCCCCACCTCCTGCACACGCCGGGGCTGAGCCGCTGCCGTTCCAGAGCCGCCTCCGTGGGTGGTGGGTCCTGCTGGGAGGGGCAGGTGGGGTTTTTTGGATTTTTTGGGTTTTTTTGGGTTTTTTTTTTTTCCTGGTTATTTAACGACAGTCCTTGGAAAACCTCCCGGAGAAAGTTTAGGAGGCTTGTGGGGGCTTGTTCCTGTCTGTGGGGGATGGAGCAGCGGAGCCTTGCGCTGCGCACGGGAGGCAGAGCGGGGCGAGGATGCAGCAGTGGCTCGTTCTGGTTATTCCTTGCACCCTCCAGCACTTCCAACCGCGGAAAAATCCAAACGTTCTGTTTGGAAAAGCTCTCAAAGCCCACTGAGTCCAACCATTCCCCCCCCCAGCACTGCCAAGGCCACCCCATGTCCCCAAGGGCCACACTGCTGTTAAATCCCCCTGCAGGGATGGGGACTCCTGGGCAGCCTGTGCCAGGGCCTGGACAATCCTTCCAGTGAAGAAATTTTCCCTAATATCCAACCTAAACCTCCCCAGGCACAATTTGGGGCTGTTTCCTCGTGTCCTGTTGCTTCTTACCCGGGAGAAGAGCCCAACCCCGACCTGGCTCCTGTCAGGGGGATGGGGAGAGTGGGAAAGTCTCCCTGGGAGTTCATTTTGAGTAGCAGCTCCCATTTTCACACTTCCACACAGGATGCCAAGGGGATGAGGATCCCTGATCCCCCTCCAACACCGTCTGCTGCTCGTTTGGGTGATCACTAAGTTGGGAGCAGCTCCATGGCTGCAAACCTTCCTCTTCTTGGCTCCATGGACGAGGCAAAGAAAGGCTGAGGGGACAGTTCCCGCTTGGAATGATCCCCTCCATCCCACCCTTCCTTTAGGCCGGGTTCTGATGCCCCCAACTGACGCTCTCCCTCTTCCCGTGCAGCAGCAGCTGGGGAAGGCACTTAATTAAGGCGATTTAATTACGCCCGTAGCGGGTGCCGTTAAACCTCGCAGCCCCACGGGCGGCTTTTATTAATCCGACGGCTCCTGGAGTCGGGAAGGCTTTGGCAGCTCCGCACGTCCCTCCCGGTGCTCAGCATGCTCCTGCCGTGCCCATGATTTTCCTACAGCTCCCTTGGAAAATTATTTATTGCGCCGCTCTCTCTGCACCACGGGGCTCCCGCTCCTGGATGCTCATTTTCCACCACCTCCCTTCCCTGCTCTTCAGCATTCCCGGTGTTTTTCCCTCTCTCCCTCCTCCTTTCCCCCCACAATCTGTTGCGTTCCGCTTTGTCCTCGCGCCCGGTGACCCTGAGAGCCCAGCCAAGGAGAAACAGCCCATTTATGTCACGCCAAAGATTTATCCCTGGCGTCTCCAGCGGCGGCCAGGTGAGCGCCGAGACCTTTCCCGTCACGTCCGTGGGGTTGCAATCCATCACCCCGGAGTGCCGGGCTGGGATTTATCCTCTGGGACGGCGGCTGCTGGGTGATGGAAGGGAGAGGCTGAGGCAGCTTCCACGGCTGTCTCCTTAATAAATGGGTGATGATCAGCAGAAGGAAAATATCACCCCCTCCCCAATCCCAGGAATGTGGGGCTGGGATGCCACCAGGGGTTTTGATGGGTGCTGAGGACCAGGTGATGGATACCTCAGGCCTTGTTTTTCTCGCGTCCTTGGGGATTTCCTGGGCACCGCGTGCAGGTTTGATGGCACAGAG